CTTTCCCTAGTGATTACATATTTTAATAGTTTGGGTTGCTCTTTTTTTTGCAGACATAGTTACAGTTTAAGAATGAAGAATACAAAATTTCCTGTTGCTGCTGTATCTTTAACTTCAAGGTCAGCAAGCTGCTCACTAAATGAGTTCAATAGCAATATTTTAATAACCATATTTTAGTGAAGATATAATCATAACAAGGCCTGCCTCTGTGTAAGGCATTAGGTTATGAATCAGGGCATTTATATATATTTTTGTATGTGCTACTGATCTTGCACATGTGACTGTTGGCAAGTCATCTTACTTAACTGCACCCCTACTCTTCCTCCAACTCCATGCCAATCCATTTATTAGGGTAGGGACTGCTTCTCATATGAATGTACTATCCCAAGCAGAACTGGCCTTCATTTTAGCTACAGTCTGTAGAAGTTACTGTAGTAGAAATATCAAATGACCTCCAGGGGACACAATGAAAGGATGTCAATTCTGGAAAACTGGCTGCCGAAACAGAAATTGCTTTGTGCAAAGACTTTAGTCAAATCTCTACTAATATATATAGGGCAGCTACAGTTTCAAGATACAGTTCCCAAATCTTAATGATTTTGGATACAGCAAGAAAGATGAAGAGTTGCATTATGAAATTTTGCAAGTAGGCGGTAACCCACCATGAACATTTGCTCACTGCAAGACAACAACATGATGTTGAAGTACTGTATTTTAAAAAGTCCAGTAATTTCTCTTCCTGCTGTGGGTTTGGATATACTAAAACTAAGCCTGCTTTTGGCTGTACTTAATTTAGTTCAGAAATAATAGGATCTGTGCTTTCCACACAGATTTTTCTGCTCTAATCCTTCTGCTATGATTGCAGCTGAACTTTCCATTTGCTCAGGCTGCTAAGTACTGTAGAAAAGCTTTCCAAATACCTCATGGGTGACCTTATGCCACTGCTCATTTTAATCCCTCACATGTATTCAATTTTTCACGGACAACTAAAGGACAAATAAAACTCCTTTTTTTCTCTGTTCCTGTTCTGCTACGAGTTACAAAAGGAGTTAACATAGCTCGTAGTAAAACAAACATGGATTCTTCTTTTACACAAGTTCCAGGTCTTTGCTCAGAGACACAAATTTGTATCAATGAAATAAATATGCATGTAGGTTCAGTCCTAACCTTGATTATACAAAGACTTAGGATCTAACACTGCAAAGGTACTGCCTGATTAGAAGACAGCAGTGTGAAACTCTCTCTCAGTCTCTCACTGCAAGAAACACATTGAACTTTGATAACCATATTTGCTTCTTCTTGGCAAATCTAGTATTATCTTTGAGCTAGTCTGCAGGCAAATTTAGTCTACTAAAGACCACTCAATTTTTAATCATATAACATTTGCAAGGCATTCATACCAGCTAACTGTAAGGAACATGGGGACCAGACTTAGTGATGTGGCTGAATGCTACAGACAACTGCAGAGAATTCAGGTGGGAGCAGTAAAAATTACAAAAAGTTTGAGTTCAGGAAAAATGAAGTGACTTCATGTCCAATTTAGGAAAAAAAACATGTATTACTGCTTATTGCTGATTAAGCAACTTTTTAAAGCAATAAAAGCAGTAATACAGTTGAGAAAAGCTTCAGGCTTTACACAGATGGGAAGTGAGAGGGGTGCAGCAAGATCTACTACAGAGTGAGGAACTACAATTTGCAGCAGTTTCTCTGGTCAGATCCACATGTTTGATAAACTCTCATCATTTACAGCTTTACTTATTTGTGAAAGTAGAATAATGTAAGTCTATTCGTAGCTTTCAAGAATTACATTCACAGACATTGCCACCTACTAACAATGGTTAAAGTGGGGAGGGAAATGTGCAATTAATTTTGATGCAGCATAAACACAGCTGACAACATAAGTTGCTTTCTTTTTTCCATGCCAAATTTCATGGAATTTAAAGTAGATTCTTCATGCTTTTTGCTGAACTGTGGCATTCAATTAATATTTTGAGGGGTCTGGAGTCGAAGTATGGGCAGTTCTTCCTACCCTCTTCTTTCCTCTTGGATGCTGTATTATAATTATACCACAGGTTTTGGATATTATTTCCGTAGTTATTCTTCTCCCCCTAACCCTACAAGTCAAGAGATAATTTCAGACCAAACGTAGCTATTATACAGTACCTGCGTGGTGTGCAGTCCTCATACGGAGGGACGATGACAACCTTCACTGTTACTGATGTTCTCAGAAGATCAATCATTTGCTCATGGCTCAGAGTGGCTACAGCCACTTTGCAGATTTCCACCAGTCGGCTGCCCTGGCGCAGTCCCGCCTGCCACGCGTAGCCGTAGGGCTCAACATCTGCCACAATGCCTTCATAGTTCACATGGAAACCAAGCTGACCCAGACCATTCCTACGCAGAGTCATCTCCACTGTTTCACAGCCCTTAGTCACAAGCTGGGAATTGAAATGGAGACAGAATTTAGCGCACGGAGAGAACTTCAGTGCTAATAGAGGTTTAAGGGCTCCACTTTTGTACAGTCAGTCACCTCCCAAGACAATGGTGAGAGACAACTGAAGAATATATATAACACAGTTCTGGGTATTTAATCAGCTGAAATGGGTCTCATCACTCAAACCAGTTTTTCCAGTAGAGTATGGTTACCCAAGTTCTGCCTTGAATTTTTTACCGAAATCAAAGGAATTTTAGAAGATTCATGGCAGCACACAACAGGAAAACACATGGAGTTACACAAGCATTTCTATCTTTTACACGTCAGTAACTGAAAAATCATTCTACATTTCTAGCTGTTTCAGTAACCTGCAAGATTACTTTCAGTCACAATTTGGTGGGATGCAGCTACAAAGGACAGTGAACTGGGGTCTATGCCAACTCTTCTATGTACCATGTGCATGAATACTGTGTCAAGAGCAATTTAACAGGGCCTGGTTTTCCCTTTTTCCTGGTCGTTATATAACTACAGTTGTGAAATTACAGGAAAGGCAGTGAAACATTACACATCCTTGCATAACTTAATTGGATAAAAAAATCAGCAGAGACAGATGTTTCATAGACAGATACCATGATTCACTGCAATTTTAGTTTATCACATGCACTCAGAATATCTGAAGATTGCAGTAGGGACTGGGACTGCACCCTGCTGGTACCATAATAAGTGAGTCTCAAAGACATTACAACTTAATTTGAAACAAGATACAACAAGCCTATAAAACAGAGAAGGGCAAGGAAAATAAGGCAAAGAAATAAGGTGGTACTTCTGTATTTATTCTGTGGGAGGAATTTATGCATCTGAAGGCCCTGCTTCTTTTAATTTTGTTTTAGATATGGACACATTTTAGATATTGACACAATCAGCAGAAGTTGGCTGATAAAAGTGAAAGCAATATTGAATTTTGAGAAATAAAAGCAGGGCAGTCCTTACAGATTTAATGATAAACAACTAGAATAGTTTTAAGGTTCTCAAGTATCACTTAAACAGAAGCCTTACTTGGTGGTGGGGCAAGAGAAGAAAGCAAAGAAGTGGAACCAAACAAGAGAATAAAATCTAACCTCCAGCCTTTTGACGATCTCTTTGATATCATCAATGTTGCTGATGAAGCTCTCCAAAGAAACACATTCACCTCTCTCATAGAATATTTTTATATTTGTGTCCGTTGAAGTCCACCCTATCACATCTCGACAGGAGCAGTTGAACACCACGCTTTTTGTGTCCTGTTCAATGAGGACTACAAACTCATTAGAGATGCCTAGGAGACAGTCTATTTCCATACCCTTGCTATAGTCTTTTGCATGAACACTCCATACAATAGCACCAGAACTATATATCTCTGCTCCTGGATAAGGCTTGGACTTTTCTTTCTTCTTAGAAGCAAGTGAGATGAAGGGGAACTTGCCAGAAGGGTCAATAGGTGTGTTGGTGACATTCTTCTCTGCCAAATCTTTCAAGTACTCTTGACGCGTCCTGGTGGCCATCGCACGAAACTTTTCTGACTTATGAGCAGCATTCTCTGCATTAATGACTTTGGCTAGCAAGAAGTCCCTGAACACATTTGATTTAGGAAACGTGACACCTTTAGGAATAGGTGGTCCAAAGGATGGTACATCTCTGGATCTTGTCACAGCAACACTGAAAGAAATAAAAGGAAGAAGTAGAGTGCTTCACTATATGCAAATTCAGCAGTTTTTGGAATACAGAAAACACATTTCCTTTTTTCCTTAGCTTCTCAATTTTTCTCTCCTGCTCTCAGCAATACGCCCATATTTACATTTTAATCCCACCAGTGTGGAGATCATAATCCCCTTACTGTATAAACAGAAGGCCACCTATTTTTGCATCGAGGCATTTTAAGCCACCCTCAGTACCACAGCTTAATGAGTTTTTCAAGTGCAAAACTGTGCTTTCCTGATGAAGTAATTACCCATGTATGGTAGTTTTTAATTTTGTGTGGTTTTACTATGAACAGGAAATTTCTGATACACACTATTACAAAGGTTAGCTTACAGTTTAGCTACCTAAAGCCAAAAGGCTCGCCTGAAAGCAATGTGAAGTGTATGATCAACTCTAAAAACACAGATAAAATGGATACATTAAAAAGATAAAGACAATAAGGTCACCTCACAAGGTCAGTTTCACTGTAAGAATACCTTCTGGTGGCTGAACACATACATACCTCATACTACTGATTGGTTCAGATTTTTAGATCAAAAATTGCACTAGTTGATATTGCATGCTTGTGACAGAAGCAGACTCCAGAAACACTAGAAACAAGAAGTTTGTAGGAACTTTGGAGATATTTATGAGAAGCAAATGCTTTCTTTTTCAACTCTTCCTTTTAGCTTCCATACGAAGTGGCAGAATGACATTAAGACTGCATTAGGCAATGCCAACAAGTTCTGCTGTTCTCCCTGGTCAGGTCTCCTTTGACACGGAGCAGACACGAGCTGTTTGGTGCCACTGAAGACCTGTCACTTCAGGCCAGTGTCTCTCACTCAGCAGCCTGTCCTAAAAGACTGACAACTGTACTGCAACTGTTCTGTGACAAGAAATGCTCCAGCAGCCCCTATCTAATTTGCCCCACTTCTATAACTACATCTGAAAAAGCACTAATTTTGAGCAACACAGCATGGTAACAGTTTCATACAGAAAAAGATGATGGTACTTTTACACTAGAAATGAATGTTCATTTGGAAGGCTGGCTAGCATTATTTTAACACTTTGTTCTAACTTTTCTGAATCCTTAAACATAACCAGAGAAATTATTCCCCAGAAAATCAATTAACTGAGACTGCAGAAACACTATAGAGTGTGCAGAGAAGAGGGGCACACAGGAATACCCAAAATAAAAATTAAGTCACCCAATCTTCTGGTTTTGGGTGGTGGGTGGGTTTTTTGTTTTGATTTTGTTGGTTTTTTAAAATAAAAATATTATCTGGCAACTGATACTGGAAGATGGCATTTACTGTCATATTTCCTTCAAATGTATGCCAATATATCTAAAGGTATGCAACAGGGGGTGCTCAAGATACAGTCATCTGACTCTTGATCATCTTCAGTGGTCCTGAAGTGTCTGTTACTAAGAGATAGAAGCCTAAGCGTTAAACACAATTACTGAACACAATTAAAAACTACCACTGACATTTTATTTGGTTAGGCTTTCAATATTACAAATTACAGGGTTAAGTATTTAATCATTAACATATGCTAGAGTAGTTTAAAAAAGGATGCTGATAGAGAAGCCAGACTTTTGAAACACTGTTTATCTTAGTTGAGAGGCAGAATCTCTGGCCAAGACAGTGCATGATTTTTCCCTTTTATGTAGTTTTTAATATAAATTCCAGTATATTTTTATGCTATATGGCTTCCTGTTCTGTCTAGAATTATGAATCTATGAAACTGTTCCAAATAATTCAGTGAAAAGAGGTCAAAATTTACTTGGAAAAGTTTCCTAGAAAAACTTTTCATAAAGGAATTCTATAAATGAAATCAAATGTTTGTACTGGGAGGGCAGGGAGATATTAATCTTTAAAGACACAAAACATAAAAGCTCTGGCTGTCTCCTATATCAAAATGAACATTGACACTCTCACTTTTTTTCCATACCTGCTCTCTCCCCCCTTTAAATTTAAACCTGTAGTATTACTAAAGCTGAAATTCTCATATTCTGTTTGGTAACAGTAACCAGTAAGGTTCCAGCCCTCCTAGTTGTGAACACTTGAAAAATTGAAGCAATTCAGAAGCCTGAAGGCCTGAAATAGAACCCCGAGGTATTTACATTTATTGAAGTATAACAAGTATAAATCTTTCCTATGGTTTTTAAAAGGCAGAAATTGAAATTATGCATTAAGATAGTTTTAAATTAATAACCAAAAGCAGATCATTCTCTGTGTTTCCAATTCAAACAGAAAATACATCTGTAGCCCTTTGTGGATATACTTCCTGCTTTACATTTACTTCAGAACCAGATTCTGTACAGAGTAAGAGCTGAAACACATCTCCAAGTTTAAGAACAAACTATACTCACACAAATCATGTAGCAGCGCAATCTGTCAGAAAGTTGCCTTAAAATAAGTATCAACATGAACACACCTTCTCCAGGAAAGTTTAATACATGTGCAAAGGTTTTCACTGTCTTTATTTTAAAAATGGAATATAAGCTCAGAGCAAAACAGAAATACCCTTCTAGCATACTCTTAAAGAAGAGAATAAAAAGGAAGTGAGAATGGATTTTAAAAATCATTAACAAATGTTTCGGTTTATGTATGTGTGAGTGTACACACATACTGACAGCACTGACTTCCTCACTGGGTGTTTCCTTTACATACTCATGCGTGTCTAATTACTTTTAAAAAAACGTTTTGCATTCACATGGCTCAAAATCTCCTCGACCCCCCTATTTCATCATGTTTCCCTATTGAGAATTTAAAAAGGGAATGGCACCGCCCCTCCACACTCAGATTCCATGTTTCCAGTGCAACCAGTGATAGCTACCTGTAACAAACGCTGTCAGTGCAGGGACCATGCACTCTCACAATGACAAAGACGTGCTGGAAGTGGGATCGAATGTTCTTTGGGCTGAAGGGTTGTGCTCCAGGCTCTTGGAATACTATTGTCACAATATCATTTCCAATATGTCGTTTTCTCAGAAGCTTTACCAAAAAGAGATGCAAAGGTTAAAACAGAGACTTTTCACAATTTTCAATTATTTATTTCTCATTATTATAAATAACTGTTGTTCAAGTTTTGATTCCAATTGACACTTCAAGCTGAAAACTGAAACAGTTGAGGGTTTATATGACAAGTACCAGGATGTTAGTTATTCATCTAATAAGTTTCAGGCATGGGGATATTAAAACCAATTTCATTTCTACATGTAACATACAGGAAGATCTTGTTAGGGAAAATGTTACACTAAACAAAGGGGAAAATAATTGTCATTGTCCTTAAGACATGCTATAAAAATTAGATGGTAGGCTTCTTTCAGTAAATCCAAGACTACAGTATAAGAGAAAGGTAAACTACAAAGTAGTATAACATTTCATGTACAAAAACAAACTACAATGAATGCTGTACTATCTTCTGTTGTTAAAGGAATTTCTATTTTATCTGCAGAAAAACAAAATAACATCATTTCTAGAGGGAAACTGACATCACACACAAGATGGCCTAGTATTAACAAGATCAGGTAGTTCAGAGTAAAAAAGCAGGTCAGCTTAAATATCTCTTCAGTATAATAAAAAAACAATAATTAATACAAAGAAAGGATTTTGTGTTGTGTCTTCCTGTGTAGTGTGCTGGACCACCCACAGGTCACCTCTGATTTTGTGCATATTAAAATTTGCTAAATGCAATCCTTAAAGTGCAACAGACTTTGCTGCAGAAGGTTGAACATAACATTAAATACACTATGGTCCTTTTGACATAAGATACAAACTCTTATTTATGTAACACAGATCTGCTACTGACATGATTGTATAATATTTTCAATACAAGTTTCAGTAAATAATGCATAATTAAATAGAAAACAGTCCTATGGAGAAAAATCTACCTGTGATGCACCTACAACGATCTGCTTTGCTCATTTTCCTGACACAGAGATGACCAGTTTTATTTTTGGTACTTTTGATTCTTTAAATGTTCTCTTTGCTAGTTAAAAAAATTAAAGTTGTCACAAGCATTTAAGAGTTCAGCTACTTTCAAAATAGAGGAAAGTCTAAATAGGTATGGTCCATCTTACCTGTTGCTTGTTGTTTGGAGTATATGGCAACATAGTGGAAACATGGAACATGATTTCATAGTCCTTGTATGTGGTGTATAGAGAGTGAGTACCTGTTGAATCAGCTTCAGTTAAGAAAAAAGAGAAAATAAATGCATTAAAAAAAAATAAAAAACAAGGTTTCATTATCATAAAAGAAAATCATCAGGCAAGACAAGAATTCCTAGCCATCCTTGATCCCAGCTGAAATCAGTCAGCAAGTAAAAACTTACCTTTTCACCTGCCAAAGTAAATGACACACATAGATGGCACGTATAATTGTGCATACTCTTCCCAATGAAGAACTTTTTAGGAATAGGGAATTTATACCAGAAAACCCTGCAGAAAGCCTATTTAAGAATAACAAATGATAAAGTCTGAAATAATTTTCAGACACCACCCAATTATCTCAGGCTGATTGGAAGGAAACTGAACTGAGGAATGTGAAAAGGACTTCAGAAAAGAAGGTAGACAGACACTGCAAATGAATGCTATTATCTCATGCATAATTAAATATCAACGAGCATATAATCCACAATATATGAAAGAGCCGAATGGGTTCTTTTAAACATAAATATCAGGACTCTAAGTTGACTGTAGTAACATCAGACAGAACCTTTACTGAAGCAGGTGCTTTATGAGTAGGAGCAGTCAAAAACCCAGATAGGATGCTAGCATGCTTAAAGCTGATGACGGGAAAAGCCCACAACAATGACATTATGATGCTGGCACAGTAATCAAAGGTACTCTCACCTGTTTTGGGTTCTGGTCACCCTATTTTAAAAGTTATAGAAGAAAGAGAAGGGATCCAGAAACGGGTCACAAACATAATTATACGTGGATGGTGAGACTTCCATGTGGAGAGAATATGATAAAAACTAGGATTATGAAGTTTAGAAGGAAAAAAAGAAGAGGGGATATTATTAAAGTTCACAAGGTGTTGAAGACAACACTTGATTACAGACAAATTGGGAACTTCTATTTTTACTTTTTCTTTCTCAAAAAACCCAAAAAAGACCTCAAAAAATGTTCCATTAATTTAAATAGTAATGTGTTTAAAGCTGAAATAATAAATATATTCTATTAAATATAACTGCTGTCCACAGTGCAAAGAGCCTGGTTTCAAACAGAATTTTAAAAATAACTAGATTCATGTATGGAAAAGAGCATCCTGGTTATTTCAAGTTATATAAACATGCTACTATGTTATCTAATCCCAGCTATTTATGTTAATGTATTTTGAAAAGTTGTTAAATACTACATCTTGTCATTTTTTATTAGCAGAGAGTTCATGTTACTAAGGTGATATTAGCTCCGGCATTTGTGAGGCACTTACAATGCCAATAAATACACAGTTTATTTACCCATATTTTTGGGTATAAGCTTTGACAAGAAGTTTTCATTTTCTGTCAAATTTGGAATAATAAAATAGAGGTAGCTTTGCCATAAATTAAAAACCACAATATCATCCATAAAATGAAATGGGGAACTTTCTATACTATAGCTGCATAGGTATTTTGCGCTTCCAAATAATCTATGTAGAATAAAATGGGAATAAGAACAAAAAAAATTTGCTTAGAATCTTATTCTTAAAAAAAATCTCAGTTTATGTTTCAATGACATTGGGCTCTCTTTTGCAGTACTCAAACTGCTAAATATCTTACTTTTAATGCCAATTACAACAGCAGAGCAGCTGACGTGAAACTGTTTAATCTTGCACTCAGTTCACAGCAGCCTTTATGATCTACCTGATCATTACACAATGGACACTGAAGGAGGCTGATGAACCTGAAAAGTCATGTGAACATCAACATAACTCCGTACTAGCTTTTTTTTGTTGTTTAACAGTAAGCATGCTAATTTGTATAGGAACCTTCAGAAATAAGAGTATACAAAAATACATTATTAGAGCATTTAACAGGCTGCCCAGTGAAGCTGTGGATACCCCCTCCCTGGAAGTGTTCAAGGTCAAGCTGGATGGAGCTTTGAGCAACCTGGTCTACTGGGAGGTGTCCCTGCCCATGGCAGGAGGGTTGGAACTAGATGATCTTTCAGGTCCCTTCCAATCCAAACGATTCTATGATTCTATGAAAAATATTACAAAGAACTGGAAAGTGGGAGCAGGTACAAAAAGAAAACAAGGCGGGTAAGAAGAAAGACAGAGGAAGGAAGGCCCCAAAGGAGGGAAGGGGCCCAAAAGGGGTGAAAAGGAAGAGGAATAGTAAAGCAATTCTAACAAATAATATGGTAGAACACCATCTATGCACTTAAGCCAAACTTTGAACTTTCCTGGATTAACTTCATTTTAGGCAGAAGAGAGAGCTTTACTGAGAACAGCACTGGTTCTGTAAACCAAGTAATACATCTACAATCTGAATTACACATTTCATAATTCCACCAATTATTTGCAAGTACTTCACAGATTAAATGTCATCTGCCCAAGGTGTTCCTGCTGCAGCAGGAGGGTTAGACTCGATGCTCTTCAGAGGTCCCTTCCAAGCCCTATGATTCCATGACTCTATGCAATCCCTGTTACTCAAATCCAGCTAATGAACAGAAGTCTGTATCCACTACAGACTGTTGACCTTTCTTGTCATTTTTCTTACGAGTCCAGAATACTTTTTTCTGAAGCACAACACAATAATTACATGTGTTTGCTTTAAATCAAACCACTGTCATTTATCATCTTTGTCAGTGACATGGACAGTGCAATTGAGTGCACCCTCAGCAAGTTTGCTGATGACATCAAACTGAGTGGTGTGGTTGACATGCTGGAGGGAAGGGATACCATCCAGAGGTACCTTGACAGGCTTGAGAGGTAGGCCCATGCCAACCTCATGAAGTTCAACAAGCACAAGGTCATGCATCTGGACTGGGGCAACCCCAAGCACAAATACAGACTGGGCAGAGAATGGACTGAGAACAACCTTGAGAAGGACCTCGGGGTGTTGGTCAATTAAAAGCTCAACATGAGTCAGCAATGTGCACCTGCAGCCCAGAAATCCAACTGTGTCTTGGAATGCATCAAAAGAAGCTTCGCCAGCAGGCCAAGGGAGGTGATCCTGCCCCTCTACTCCGTGCTCATGAGACACCACCGGGAGTACTGTGTCCAATTCTGGAGCCCCCAACACAGGAAGGACATAGAGCTCTTGGAGCAAGTCCAGAGGAGGGACATGAAGATGATCAGAGGGCTGGAGCAGCTCTCCTATGAAGACAGGGTGAGAGAGTTTGGGCTGTTTGGCCTGGAGAAGAGAAGGCTCCAATAAGACCTTATAGCAGCCCTCCAGTATCTATCTACAGGAAAGCTGGGGAGGGACTTTTTATCAGGGTGTGTAGTGATAAGACAAGGGGTAATGGTTTTAAGCTGGAAGAGGGTAGATTTAGGTTAGATGTTAGGAAAAAATTCTTTACTGTTAGGGTGGTGAGACAACAGAACAGATTGCTCAGGGAGGTTGTGGCTGCCCTCTCCCTGGAAGTGTTCAAGACCATGCTGGACAGGGCTTTGTGCAACCTAGTCTAGTGGAAGGTGTCCCTGCTTTTGCAGGGGAGTTGGAACTAGATGATCTCCTAGATCCCTTCTAACTCAAACCATTCTAGGATTCTATGACTGTGTGCTGGAACAATATCCAGCATTTCAAGGTCAGAACTGTAAGACAGCACTGCAATCTAGTTTGATTTACTTGTGTTTAACAGAGGTCCAAGGGATCTATGAATTCATCAGCACCTTTTTACACTGAAGATATAACCTTTGCCATCAGTTTATGGCATACCTGTTGATGCTGCCTTCTCAGTCTGGTCCCATTACTGGGTTTGATTACCTAGCTGAGGATTTATCTCATCTTTTCCTTCCACTGTTATTCACCTTTAAAAAATCACCTTATTCTTCTATACCTTCTAATGTTTCTTAGCTACTTTCACGAGTGTCTTAACATACTCCCATATTAAGTCATTTTTTCCAACAGCAACAGCACTCAAAATTGTGACTGACATCAGCACTGCACCACTGATAAATTCACCTCACTGAAGGCACATGACTAGGCCAGTCTGCCTCTACAGCAGCTTCTCAAAACTGTGCACTAGAAAATTGTATAAAATCCAATATGAGTAGAAAATCCAACTTGGTGTTTCAAAGAAAAACATGTTGCAAGAAATTGTAGGAAAAGAAAAAATAAATTATACTGAGACAGGAGAAGGAACATCCATTGCTACAAACTGCCACTATGCTCACAAATAAAGGCACAAGAACAAAGTGTTTCAGAACTTAATGTTTTCCCAGCTAACCTTGCCCTGCCTTATTTCTAGTTTCTCCTAGTTATCAGCACAAATTCAGTACTTGTCAGACCTGCTCCTTTCTCTTATGCACAAGGATTACACCAAGCACCTGTGTTCAACTTGTGTAATATCCCAATAATTTTCAGACACTATTTCCAAGGACAGAATCCTGTATTTTTTAACATACAAAAGTATATGTGTAACACAAAGAAACAGAACTTTTCCCCAGTCCTGCTCCTTAAGCAATAAAAGAACCTTGGACCTTCCTTAGCTATTGGTCTTCTAGTGAGTATCTCAGACCCAACAGTAAGCTTATTCTTCCTTCTATGTGGTTGAAAATATGTTAAGTAGTGCAAGTTAAGAATGTAATCTATCTGCATTATTTCATTAGAAACATCAGGGTTGACTGACAAACCCTAAATTAAATGTCAATTTTAAGTCTATTCAGTTCCGAGAACTTTTCATCTATTTAATATTTTCTGTGCTGTTTTTATATCGTTTCCATGTCTTAACCAAAAAGTTATGCACTGACAACACCTAATACAGATGTCTACCATTATTAACTAAATTTATAATCTCATTAAATAGATAATACATGCACTCCTACAACTTGCAATAATTAATCTCCTTAATTTCTAGCCACTCTACCACTCTGCTGGACACACAAGCCAGGTTACCAGATCTAGCATTATCCAGTTGATCCCATTTATCCATTAAAAATATTGAGAAGGAAGACTAAGTGAAGGGGGGGGGCAGGAAAGCATACGTTATATCTACAAAATAAAGTAAAATTATTCAAGTTATAATTTGAAAGATTACTGTGATGTTTATTACTTTAATGTGATGCCCATAAGCTTCTTAGCACCTGTGGGACAGATGACATTTTCAAGCTCTATTTCCTATCCAAATTATGCAGGCTGCCAGAAGATAGACTGCTTCCCCTCTGGTAATTCTAAAAATATACAAACACAACTTCAAAAGTAGCAGCACTTTTCCACGGTGGCACTGGCAGAGATCCAAAACTAAAGTCCTTGAAGGATTCAATATTATGAAATAGGCTTTCAATCAATAGGATGCACGAGATTCCTCCTTTTATAAATTGGCTCTGTTATGGCTACTTACCAATGAGGACCCTATTTTTAAACATTTCTAAGAACTGTTCCAAAACTGCCTTTCACTAGAGCAACTGTACAACAATTTGCATAAATCAAAAATATCTTGTGAACATTTCCAGAGCACATATACAAATCAGCTTCCCTCCATGCTAACAAAAATCTTCCCTCGTGACTACATCACACATTTGCTTTCATAGGCTATGAATTATTGTCAAATGTACAGGAAGTACATTTGTAGCGTAGTTCTGACCTTTCTTGCAAGTTAATGAGGAGACATTTGTTTTTAAGAGCATCTTTGCAATCAACTGTGCTCACATTAAACAGAGTTTTAAGGCAGGAAAATTTCCTGTGTAATGAGTCCTCAAGAACTATTTCATGACAGTGACCTCTAGAAACAGAAGAGCCCAGAGCTGGAAAAGAGAGAAACTTGATTCCTACCTATAGACATACGTATTTCAACAAAACCCTATATACCCAGGTCACAGTAAAAACCACTCTCTCCTCCTCTGCAGGCCTTTCTGTGATAGGGCCAAGCCAGAAAATGCTGACTGATTACTTAGGATAGCTACTGAAGGTGCATTGCCTATCTGTATTCTGCTGCTCTCAAGACCACCTCTGATCTTTAGCATTTTGTTTACCATAAGGTGGCTTTTTTTCCCCCCCCATTTTCTATGCAGAATATGCAATAAGGGTTTCCTAAAGTAGCTCTCCAAAGAGCCTGGTGGTGTGCCCCCAAAACACTACCTTCTTTTCCACCACTTCCAGTTTGTGCTTTGCATAGAGGCAGAAAGGGAAACCTAGCACCATCAATATCAATTACTTCAGTTTGGTACCACTGTTCACATTTTCTGCTCTCTAAATCTGCTTATTAAGAGCTCCTGTATGTTGTGTAGCTATGTGTTTGCCCAGAGAGCCTGCAGAAAACATAACTCAAAAAATTTCAGATGACTTAGGAAAGACAGAATCAACTAAAGGTTTACATATGTGCCCATTCAACAGGTGCCAGATTGTACGATATAAAATCAAAACCTGACAAAATTATTTCATCAAGCCAGCAACAAGAAGGAACTCAAACATTACTGAAAAATTCTGCTGTTTAGAAAAAAATTCCAATCAAGTACTTTATGACAGTTACAATTTTCATGGGTGTATCTGAGCAGATGAATCAACTCTTACTCATACAGCATTTACATGTGCTATAAACCAGTGTGTGTGGACTGACACCAAAAAAAGGTTAGCGGTTTGGTTTGGTTTTTTTTCAGATGTCTTAAAACAAAAAAAAAAAGGGAAGTCAGGATTTTACTTTAACTACTGAAAATAACAAGGAGGTCACAATATAAATCCAGAAGCTGTGAAAGAGTATTTTCTCTGTTTTCCATACACATTTGATTTTTGACTCAGCTTATTTTTATAACTAATAAAGCAGCATTTCGGAGCTGCCGAAAGGGAAACCAAGCCCAAGAATTATTGTATAATGTATTTCCAGTACAGGCAAGAAAATGTAACAGCAAGAAACTGCCTGGTTCTCATCTGGAATCATGTAGATAATCCTAAACACTAAATCTGAAGAGACTGAATTCAAACTGGATGAGTGTAGGGGAAGGTTACCAAGTAATAGTGCAGGGAGGGCAGGGGCAGGCAGGGAGCAGAGAAATTCACACTTACCATACCAGTAAGAGAAAATTGGCTTATTAAGGGTAACATCACAAAAGCATGGCAGAGACACAACTGCAATGAGTAAATGCACTCAAGGGAGTAAATAAAACAGAGGGAATGTAAGTATTTCACCTCTAAGAAAGCAGGCTTAATGGTAAATGTGTGTGAAATAGGGATTAATTTAGTTTTGAAACCGCAGGAAATTTTATATCCCTCTGAGGAGTGATGACTAGGCTGATCAAGAATAGTATGAGAAGATGGCAATGTGAAGCCTGTAAGAATCAAGGGCACAGTAGGATGGTGGAGCACTCAAGCAGGTTACTGTACTTGTAACAGGAGACCCGTAAGAGCGCAGTTTTTGCTGCACTCAAGTTGACAAATACTTTTCAGCTTTCATGAATCAATTGCTTAACTTCCTGTGATGCAAGCAAGCAAAATAGCAAAAGATAGTCAAAGCCAAAATTTCCCTAAATATTTAAAAATAGATTTACAATTTGAATATACTGTGTGCTAGCTGATAAACAGTTATTTCACAAGCTTGATTCTAAAAGCAGGAAGTTCCTTTTATAAATACTGTCACCACCCAAGATCATCTTTCCACTGCATTTTTGTTGCAATATGTTTTACAGTTCAAGTTGATCATAACTGCCAAATTCAATTTTATTTCCATAATTCAAAAGAAAAATCACAGAGAGAGAAATACATTTGATAGCAGAAGTAAGACAAAACTGCTTAGTATAAAAAACTGCATGCAACTGACACAGCAGAAAAGCAAGAGACTGACATGTCAGAGTGGAGTTACACAGATACCTTCTCAAAAGTTTTTTGGTGACGGTCCATTAGCACATCATCAAAATTACAACATACCAACTTTATCAATTATTCTTTTGCCAATACACTGATGAGGGATTTGGAATTAGGATAATGGCTCCACATTTTTTTTGGTTGCAGCTTTAGTGATAATTTAGTACCAAATTAGAATAAAAATCCAATAATTGTCTAATAATAAAGACCATATGGGTATGGGTCAGATCACATACTTGCTGTTTTCACTTCTAATATTAAGCAGCTGTCTTCCTATAGCAAAGAAGCTATTTTTAAGAACACTCTATAAAGTAAGTTAGCAACCTTATGATGTATTTTGTTCACTTAAGGGGGAAACAAAAGGGCCTTACTCTTTGTATCCAGCTGAGCACGATACTTCTCAAATCCCTTGAGTCGAACTCGTTCTCCCAAGAGCTGAAGAAACTCTTCAAATGCCGGACCTGCTGATTCATTATTATACATTTCCTCTTCTGTGCTTTGCCCAGCTTTGCAGTACATGATACCCACCTTAAGCTGGTAGCTTAACTGCAAAGAGAAAATAATTAAAATCTTTAATTTATATAACAAGTGACGTAGCAACTTATTTATTGAATGCACTTGATATTTTTTATTAAGCCCATAATTCACAACATAAAAATACCAAATTATCAGTTTAATTTCAAATGTTAGTCTGGTTTCAAATACTCTCATTTTTTTCCACATAATTGCCTCAATGATGGCATACTTCTTCTAAAGATGTCAAAATGTTTTCTCAAGTGAAACAAACATTAATGTTCCTTATTTTCAGGAGGAAAACACTGCAGCTTGCAAATGGTGAATGTCTTGCACTGAGTCACATGGAAAGAGCTGGCTGAGTCATCCCAGCAGCTTGAGTCTCACTCTTAGGCTGGTGCCATGGTTACTATCCCACGCTAACAATTCCACGTAGAAGGGTAGGGCACAGCATGTGCTTATTTCTATAGCAAGTGACAAAATTAATATTCCCTCACTTCGAAGAGGAGACAAAAATTATTCACCTAATAGTTCATTCACTTTTTAGTAACGTTGAAAGAGTCCATGGCATTCAGCTGCCCTTCTCTAACTTAAAAACATACTAACAAAGAAAACATCTAAACTGAGAAAAGCTGCTAATACTTCAAAGATGCTGTTTACTGCCACAGACCTTCAAACACATTTGTGCTTTTTACTTCCATTTTCCCCCTAATTTGGTGTTTGATGTTCCTAATACAACAAAAACTAAAGATGCAAATAAAGTAATTTTTTACCAAACCATAACTGTGATTCACCAAAGCACACGCTTCCCACCAATTCCAAACAGATGTACACACAAAAAGGACTTCTGTGCCCTTTATGTCTGGACTACAGAAAAAGAAGTTACAGAAAGGAAGAAAGCAGCACTCACAGCCATTTACCGCCATGTCCAAAACCGGTTTCACAGGCAGGAGCTCTGACTGGCAGAGGGCAAAGGAGAGCCTTGGAATCTGTGCAGCTAGCAAAAATGCATACTTACTGCGAGGTAAACAATCTTTCCTCCCATACAAGGGTTTCTGCACAGGCTCCTTTTTAAATAAGTACCAAAATAATGAGAAAGTCTATTGAAATTGGCATGAGCTTTCCAACTTTGGGCTACAGGTCAGTAGGAAGTGAAAACAGTTCTTTGCAAGGACACTGGAAGCCAATTCATCTAAATATGCTGTGATTTGTGCTTAAGTTTCCTATCAGAGCTCATGAGACAAAATGTTATGGAACATGCTGGGATGATGATGTGACACAAGGTGAAATTATTAGATCTTATCTTATTATATTTACGATGGGATAATTAAAAAGCCCTCAGAAGTGGTCCTACTCTGTCTCTAGTTAAAATAAAAAGCCTCTGACAATTGCAACTTCACTGTATTCTTCTTTTATCACCAAGGATAAATGGTGACAGCGACAAAGTATTAACACTAGAAAAATTAGGAGGGGGGGAAAAAAGAAGGTCAAATATCAACCTGGCTTGATAAGTCCCGTTGATGAAGTTAAGCATATGTAACGAGTCACAACTCTGGGCTGTTTCTTTTTTCCCCTCCAGAACATCCCTTATTTTATCATCTGACACAATAACTACCTGACTGGCATCTCCCAAATATGTCCAAATTTTTTACAATAAAATAAAAGTACAGTACTATTTAAGCCTCAATTTTGGGTGAAGGAAATATTTTCAAGGGCATAAACATAAATGCGATCACCAGCATCCATGAGCAAACAATTATCCTCCATTGCTTTGAAAATATCAGCACAAGAGGATGATGTGAAGAGCAGAACATGCCTTCTAGCTGTGTTTTTAGATTTGCTGTAGTTAAAATTAATTCACAAGGCCAACACAAGCTGGTATTTCTAATGAAAAATAAAGTAGATCTTGGGGAAGAATGGGATGCAGTCTTCACCAGCCTCTGATAAACCTAGCATCCTTAGAAGTGTATTAACTCCAAGTAAAAGCTAAAATAGGAGATTGAAGGGTGAATTCTGCTGAGGTAAAACTTCTAGAGCAGCAGCTTCATTTTAATAATCTCAGAGTATTTACATATTTATCTATGCAAGAAAAGTGCACTTTAAGTATTTGTCCAAGACCCAAAGAAAGCAGAAAGCATCTCTTGGATTAACCAGTCAGCAAGTTTATATTATAAATATGGAATTATTTTAATAACTGACTGGCATTTTCACTGTATTTCTGTGAATGAGGAGTTGCAATAAACTTCTACTACAATAAATCAGTAATTGACCGGATATTCAAATTTTTTTAAGCATATTTGGAAGTAAACCTCAAGTAAGTTACCATGAACTCCGCATTCAAGGCAGAGATTAGCAGACGATAATTATCCAGGAAGCTAATGCAGCCCTAAGGAATGACTGGATTGCTTTTTAACAGAACCATTCAAATTAATGCATTTTAATAAAGTAAATAAAAGAACCGGGAGGTAACAATCAGTATGGACCATAGTACCAAAGAGCAGATGTTACTATGACTCAAGCAATCTAAGGGCAAGTAGGGAATATGCAACTTGACATACAAAACGAGTACAAAATTGGGGCAAGAAGAATATTCCCTTTCTGACACTGGATGTCATATGTAGCTATTGAAAGAGTATAGAGACAAAGATCAGCCGTAAAAATATGATACAAAATTCAGGAAAATATGTTGCAGTACAAGACTTGAAAAGTGCAATCTGTTTAGCTTATAATAATACATGCATATACATTTTCACTGCATATGAAAACCTTTGCTGGAACAAACCTCACAGCAATTTTACTCTTAAGACATAGGTAGCAGAAAATAGTATCAGAAGTCAAGATAAACTGAAATAAAGAACTGCAAGTTCTTAAATATGAAAAAAACCAACTGCTTAAAACCTCATCAAAATATGAAAAAAGACAGCCTATTGTAATCAAAACTGGTGCATGCAAATTTGCCTCAATGAAGGGATTACTGGGTGAAATACCTGCTGGAGAGCAGTGTAGGAGAAAGGGACCTGGGGGTCCTGGTGGACAGGAAGATGACCATGAGCCAGCAATGTGCCCTTGTGGCTATGAAGGCCAATGGCATCCTGGGGTGCATTAGAAAGGGGGTGGTTAGTAGGTCAAGAGAGGTTCTCCTCCCCCTCTATTCTGCCTTGGTGAGCCTGCATCTGGAATATGGTGTTCAATCCTGGGCCCCACAGTTCAAGAAGGACAGGAAACTGCTCGAAAGAGTCCAGCGCAGAGCTACAAAGATGATGAAGGGAGTGGAACATCTCCCTTATGAGGAAAGGCTGAGGGAGCTGGGTCTCTTTAGATTGGAGAAAAGGAGACTGAGGGGTGACCTCATCAATGTTTACAAATATGTAAGGGGTGAGTGTCAGGGAGATGGAGTTAGGCTTTTCTCAGTGATGACTAGTGATAGGACAAGGGGGAATGGATGCAAACTGGAGCATAGGAGGTTCCATGTGAATATCAGGAAGAACTTCTTTACTGTGAGAGTGACAGAGCACTGGAACAGGCTGCCTAGAGAGGCTGTGGAACAGGAAACTGCTCGAAAGAGTCCAGCGCAGAGCTACAAAGATGATGAAGGGAGTGGAACATCTCCCTTATGAGGAAAGGCTGAGGGAGCTGGGTCTCTTTAGATTGGAGAAAAGGAGACTGAGGGGTGACCTCATCAATGTTTACAAATATGTAAGGGGTGAGTGTCAGGGAGATGGAGTTAGGCTTTTCTCAGTGATGACTAGTGATAGGACAAGGGGGAATGGATGCAAACTGGAGCATAGGAGGTTCCATGTGAATATCAGGAAGAACTTCTTTACTGTGAGAGTGACAGAGCACTGGAACAGGCTGCCCAGAGAGGCTGTGGAGTCTCCTTCACTGCAGACATTCAAAACCCGCCTGGATGCATTCCTGTGTGATGTGCTCTAGGTGACCCTGCTCTGGCAGGGGGGTTGGACTAGATGATCTTTCGAGGTCCCTTCCAACCCCTAGGATTCTGTGCTTCTGTGAAATTTAATGGCTATGACAGGCTAAGGTCACTTTATAGCTTTAATTATTAAATTTACAAAACAAGTTATTTGCTATACCAAAGAGACACCTCTTCATGCTGTAATGAAACAGTGTGGCACTCAGCAAGAAGCAGTGATAAACATTCTGAGTTCCCAATTAATAGAACAGCTGTTACCCAAATTTTTCTGTTAGTTTTGAATTGATAAAAAAATACAGCTTCTAATTAGTACAGAGTGTGCTTATCTTTTTCTGTTAGAAGTGTCGAACTGTTTCATTACCTCAAAAATAGAAAATACTTTGATGTAGATAATGCAATTTTAACTATCACTTGTCCTTAATGATTTTCAAAAGTTTAAGTAGTAACAGAAGACCATACTACATACCATATTGTGGGAGCTTAATGACATACAGGATATGAAACAAGCATAATATAATCTCACACTTTTTAAAGACAATCGACTTATGAATCAAAGTATGTTAAATTACTTTTCAAATTAGGTATTTACTAGAAATAATACTGAATTTATTTTTTCAATAGAAATTTCTGCCTTTTTTTTTCTTAGGGAAGATTTTCCTATCAACACTGTTAGCAGGTTGTTGATGGGCATATTATGCTCTGATGGGTGTATCAAGGGTCACTTTGATTTAAAGGCTCACTTATGGAGACATGTTGAATTAAACTCCATTTTCTCCACTGATAAAACAGAAAACTTTGGAAAGAGATTGAAAGATATCCTTCAGTCTTCAAGTGCCTGATACACTTGACTGAAATATAAGGTTTAGGCTCAGATAACAAATCATAAACAATAAATACATGAATGTGTGGAATGACTGCTTTAATCATCTAAGAAAAACACTCAGACTTTCAACTTATTCGGATCTTATCATGTGAAAGAGATTGTTACTTTCAGCAGTGAAAGCATGTAAACATTCCATCCATCTTTTAACAGGCCATACAGTAAACCCATCTCTCCTCAACTGTGCTCTCTCCAGCAGCAGCTCCAGGATTCCCCAGGACTGTTCACACCTAAGGAGATGCTGTGGGAATTGGTGGGGGAAGGCAAAAGGCTTTTGCACATACGTGAACATATTTGTATATAATTGTATATCTATTTTCTTATATCATTACTGTTTAATTAAAGCTGTGTAGTTTAGTTTTCAATCCAGCAAAGTCTCTCTCTTTTTCTCTCTCTCCTTCCCTACCTGAGTGGGAGGGGAGAGAGAGCATTGTTGTTGGACCTGAGCCAAACAGTGACAATGGCAATGAGAGCTACCAAAGGAACTTATGATAGTGGATAACTGGGCAAAAGAATGGCAGATGAACCACATGGTACAAAGATATCCAACTGTATCTACAGCAATCAGCTCTGACTTACACCCCTAATGAACAGGCTCTTAGGTGTTCATGAAAAGACACTTTTGATGTTCAGTAGTAACAATAAAACAAATAAAATATCAGTAATTATTAGAGAGAGAAGAGATAAGAAAGCATACTAAACCAAAGTTCTCTCCCATTTTCAGAATTACGCTGTTTTAAAATAGATGTAGGAGGGGAGGAGGGGAACTGGAATAACTACAGAGAAAAGCAAAAGTATGGATCAGAAGCACAGAACAAGTTCTACACGAGAAACAACTAACTAAACTAGGACTCAAACTGGTGAAGAGGAGTAGAACAGAGAGCTCTAGGAAAGCCTACAAGCTAACGGGAGCTAGGAAGCTACAGAAGTACCTTTCTTGTCTGTCCCATTCTGATATTCTTAACCAGGCACCGATGGTCGGTGACAATACTGGGCTGCACCCACTTTGGGCTGACCACACATAACCACTGCTGTGTTAGTCTGGATGCTCTTTGATAGCCACAGCTACCCATTTCTTCATCACTGTGTACCCTGTTCTCAGTGAAATAGATGAGGCTCTGAAACTAACTGGAGGACAAAGTGTTTTGCTCAGATTTTGCTACTGGTATTTATTTGGGGATTCTCTCCCTTGTACATTTTTGTAACCAAACCACAAAGAGGGTGATGGATTCTTCATGATAGTCACTTATAAACCTGTTTAGAATAGCTACATTCTCTCCCTTACGTGACATATAACGATTTTATAAAGGCCATGTTAAACTGACAGCAAGAAGAAACAGTAGCACAGATGTTAATTCTGCACAGGGAAGACTGATCATGAGAAGCAAAAGAGGAAAAAAAGGCCAGTCCTGGTAATTTAAAATCATTGGTATGAAGAAGAGGCTTAGAATATTTTGTCATACAGTTTGTTTTGGGGGGGGAGGCAGGGAAAGA